GGGGGGGGGGGGGGGGGGGGGGGGGGGGGGGGGGGGGGGGGGGGGGGGGGGGGGGGGGGGGGTACGGAAGTCAGTCGTTTCATGTCAGAGCGCAGCGCGAAAAAGACGTTACACGAGGCGAGAGAGGACGAGGAAGCGGTGGGAAGGGGGTCTGTCCCTTGGGTAGATGGTTTTAGAGTTCTAGCTGGGCGGTTAATTGTGTGTGCTTCTTGTAACGCATTGCGTGATGTCGCGTCAATCGGCGTACATAGCTCGTCTACTAGGCAAGAAAATCAAGGAAAACCAATGCACCACACATTACAACGTAGCAGCACCTTCTAGTCGTCCAAGCAGCGTGATGACTCGCCATCGAAAGGAAGGAGTAGATGAGGTCGGGCCTTCCCACATCGTTCGCAACCTGCCGACGATGGCAAGCGTCATGGGAGTCACGACTGCTGCCATCACTCCGCCACAAGAAACACAAGTACAGGCCGAACAACCGACCAGCTAACATCGAGACTAGCAGCAATTGCAAAACAAACCCCAGGTACAACACAAACAACAACCTTAGTCGTGGGAACCGAAAAAACATCGAACCCAGCGCTACATTTGGTCATACATGTGCCCAGCAGACAAACCGAACTCGGCGCATACCTTCCAAAAAGAGGCAGACCACACCCTCTCTTTTCAACCCATACCACCGACAGCAGTGCCGAACGAATCCCACGCATGACTTACAGCGCACATCTCGCCATAGGCGCCCGCCCCCGCCTCGGAGAGCGCCGCCCCCGCGTGTGTCGGGCCGTGGACGTCGACGCCGCCGCCGCCGGTGGCCGTGCCGGTTGTTGCGCCCGAGGCGGCCGCTCTGCGTCTCCCCGTACTCAGGGCGTCGACAAGAGAGTCCACGAGCCCCTGCTTGGACTCGCTGCCCGCCGCCTGGTACACCAGGGCGAGGCCCTTGCCGGCGACTTCCTGCACGAACTCGGACCTGAGGAAAACACGCGGTACGTGCACATGTAGTAGCGGCATGACGACACACGCAGACAGAAGATGAAGATTAGCAAAGACGTCAAAGGTGGGACAAAGCCTACAGAATAGTGTAAGGTAGGTGTAGGGAGAGGAGGGGCAGGGGATCACCGCCCACGGGGTAAGCACGACGTACGTGTGCACCTAAGGGGAGAAATTGAATCTGTTAATTAGAGAGCAACATCTCGGTGAAAATCGCGGCGGCCTGAACTATGTTGGGCCTCCTCTCCTCGACCTCTTTTATCCGCGCCAACTATCCATCTCCCGAAACTTTTAGGGGCCCTACGGATGCAAGAGCCTGCGCGTCACGGCAACAAGCTACCTTCCACAGCGACGACGACAAATTGCTAAAAAAGCAGGAGAAGCCATAATCAAACATGTGACGGATCGCCCCCCCCCCTCACCTGACGGTAAGCTTCCGCGTGAAGGCCGCCTGCACGTCCGGGAGGTAGGCGGAAAGGACGGGGTGGCCCCTGCATTGCTGCACCACGGCAAGGAGGTACACCGCTGCGGCCCCGGAGACGTGCGGCGAGTGGTCTTCCAGGAGGACGTACAGCACCTGGTCGCACGGCCGCCGCCGAATTCAGCGGAGAGACAATGTGTCACACGACGCAAAAAACAAAAAACAAACTGTGCCATCGCTGCTGTTACGTGCGTGCGACCTAAAGCAATCGTAACGGCGACACAACACCAGCCGCGATACCACTGTCGCACGCGCCGTCATCTGGAACACGACTCCCCCCCACCTGGTAGAGCACGAAGTCCAAGGCATTTATCAATGCGCCGCCGCCACCCTCGTCTCCCGCTGACTCTTCTTCCTTCATTTCGCGCCTCGCAGATACCGCAGACGCACGCATGTCCTCGAGAAGCTTACCAGGGGGGACGCGGAGGGGTCCTGAGCACGCCAGATCTGCCACCGCTGCGCCGACGGCAAACTGAAGCTCTTCTTGTTTCTGATTAATAGTGCGAGCCAATGTGGTGGTAAAGGCGGGGGGGGGGGG